GTTAGAGGCAAGCATTACCATTCTAAATCTAAGCTGGTGTATATACTTGTTCACTCTTGTCAGGTCTATGATGGGTCTAAGACCCTCTTTCTTCTTTAGAATAAGGAATATCAGGAGTAGAAGCTTCTTCCTCTGTACTCCCAAGGAACCTCTTCTATGGCTCCCAAACAAAACAACAAAACCACTTCCTTTTGTAACAGGTCTTGTGAAAAGGGTCCTTTGAAGAGGAATAAATAAAGAAGAGTGGGGAGAAAGTGTAGCATGAAAATTGCTGTTATAGCCATAGGGGATGATGTCCTGCACAAAACTGTTGGCTATAATCTCTTACCATGCCCAATGGAAGAGGTGAAGAGATTTCCAACAGTTATCTCTGGCATAGTCTTGTCACGGTTCTCAACATGCACCCATTCCAACCAGCTGCCTCTGTGACAGAGGAGGAGGATGACAGGAGCCTCCTGATATAACAGGGATGTTTTCTGGGTGATTATGGGAGTCAGATGGCCTTTGCCACTGTGAGGGCAGACACTAGAAGAACTTGCAGTATAGAGCTGGGGTGCATATGCTTAAAGATTTCAGTGTTGCTCTTGAATCCTTTAGGGAATGGACTGCTTCATCCATCCAGTTGCTGTAGAGCTCTATTACATCGAACGGTAAGTCCTCTATAGTCACTGGAACTTCATTTGGAATCCCAGAAACCTGGACCAGGTTACAGTTTAGTTGGTGCATTGTGACTGCTGTAGCCATGGATCTAACGGCCACATCAGACTCATCCAAAGCCACTTGTAGCACTAACTTCATTACCATCTAGCCTTCTTTGATGGCACCTCTCAGCTTCTCTCTATTGTTCTGTGGGAGCCTAGTTAGGAAGGGAGTTACCCTTTCCTACATTGAAAAACTATTACTAACAAGGCTTGGAAGTTTGCAATGTGGAACTGGAGGAAGGCTGATGAATAGGCCTTTACACTGAAAAGTCTAGTTGATTGGGGTTCTTATTTTTTGGAGTGCTCTAATATGGAGCTGGTCTTTTTCTGGACTGCAGTTACCACAAGGGACCCTCATGTCAGATGCATGTAAAAATGTTCCAAGCTCTTACGTGACACTTGATAGCACTTTTCTACTTGCTTCAAAGTAGGAGAAAGCTAGGCGTGGGTGTACCACAGTCCCTTTGCTGGTTTCAGTATGCCCTTATTAATTGGCAGGGCAATTCTTGTTGACACTGAGGAGCTGAGAATATCAAACAGCATGTGCATGTCCTCTTGGATCACCATTGTCTCAATGTCCAAGGTTTCTGTTAACCTCAAAAGCAGGTCTTTTAAAGTTCTAAAGTCATTGGCAGCTGGTATGTGTGGAGTCCAAGGCCTTGCATGGAAAAGATTTGCATGGAAAATTTAACAGGCAGGGCAACTGTAGTATTTTCCAAGCCATCTCCACTCCTGGTATAAGAGGCCTGGCCATCAATGCTGATGGTGACCGAGACTTCCTCCTCTTTCCTTTCATATGTTATGAGGCCCCACTCCTAGACATAGGGAAAGGTGGGGCCCAGTAGGAATATTCTATAGGAACTGGCCAGACTGCAGTTGACCTGTGCATTGCCAGTCATGTATAGGTGAATTGGGCGCTTCAGGAACTCACCATAGGGTATCCCTCTGATCTAACAGGAGGAGGTTCTTTGCTTGATATTCAAAAGAAGAAGATCTAATTTGCCTGGGAAGCACTTAGATGCTGAAGTAATGGCTTTATGGAAAACCCAGCTATATGCTTTCTATATCCTTCCTTCCTGTTCTTATTTGCCTTTAGGTTCTCCCACCAACACAGCTACTGCTGCTTATGGGGGATGCAGTAATTAAGTCGATGGGAGAGCTCTCTCCCATTGGTTTAAAGCATCTGCACTAGCATTGGTGCAGCTGCACCGCTGTGAACTCTGTAGTGTATACATAGCCTAAGAATGTTTTGAACAATATCCAATTTTTGTTTGCAGCTAGGTAAATTCAGACCATATCAATTCAGTTAATCTGTACCTTAGTTATATCTAGATATTTTATTGTGCACGAAACATTCAGATTTTTATCTGCTTTTTGTTGTGTTTGCTTTTTTACCTGAATAACTATGAATTTACAATTGAAAAGACTTTGGGCCAAATTCACCACTGGCATAAGTGGATGCAACTCCATTTAAGTCAATGAAATGCATAAGCTTATATCAGTGGCAAACATAGGCTCTTTGCATCCATTAATTCTATCCCTTCCTTTGGGAAATTCACAGAATAGCACTAATAGTAGCTCTTGATGGGCAACATATGTTATGTCCTGATAGCAAGAGGGAACATGATTCCGGTTGGCAAAATAGGGTGAGATACACAACGATCTCAAAATGATGAGAGGATAAAAAATTTTTGAGAACTCAAGCAGAAAAACCAAGTAAACAAGTACTAGACAACAGTGCAATATGTTCTTTGTCAACTGATGTTCCATTTGTTGTTTCAGTTAGAATTGAATCATAATCCCAGACATGAAAGGCCAGTGATTATCAATCAAATCATCCAGCTCTAAATTGAATTTAAAGTTGCAACTTCCATATTACTAATAATGCTGATAAGCTATTAGCAATTCACATTTCACAAAAATATATTTAACAACCTTAAAAGTAAACATTATAGGAGAAAGAGAAATAATGATTTCATATGAAAATTCAATTCCAAATGTGGGTTACAATCTACATTACTTCCCTCATTTGTTTAAGAAACAAAGTGAAATAGAGCATTTCCTAAGAATTAATTTTTTTAAAAAGAATTAATAGAAAATTCTCTAATGATCTTTTAAGTGACAAAATGTAAAACTATTTAAATCATCACAACCTGTAGCCAATTTACACAAATTGAGTTCTTTGGAGAAGAAGGTAAGTTTCTATGTCTCTACAAATGATATCCCGCCATTTATGCCAGCAACCTCAATATGTCATGTCAAATTCACTTTTACTTTGACAAAACACAGGAACAACTAAAACAATGAGAATGTCACAAAATATATTTTGGTATTCTTCCCATTTATCTATTAGTCTTTCGTAAGGAACAGGCTACTGGAAAAGCACAGATGAAGGTACAGAGAAATCAGAAGCCATCATTATATACAGACAGAGAAATTAAAAGATGACATGACTGTGTACCTTGGTGCAATTCTTATTTTCAACATAAAATTGCTTCTGGCTTTAAAGTGAAACGAAATACCACCGAGATTTTAAGAGAGTCAGCAAATTTTGTTTTCACACACTCAATATGTCAGATGCAATTTTAAGTGTAAGACAGGGAATGCTAGCTCATTAAAACTTGAGATATGCATACAGTTTTACTTTATAACAAAAAGAACCTGGTGGTATCTTGGACAAACATACTGAAATTATGGAAATTTCCCTGTCAGAGAATGACAAGCAGAATTAGACTATGGAAGCAAGTTTCCTAATAAACGTCGTTTTTTTCCCCCAGTCAACTTTCTATCCATATAGATCTCTGCCCTGGAAAATACTACATTTCAACTTGCACATCTCAAATGTAGCACAATATAGTGCAATTAGTATAAGCGACAAAGGAGGTTTGTTTTTTCTGGAATATATCGTTTTTAATTGGGCCGTTTCTGCAAACTCATCCACTCGAGTGGATCCCAGTGGAGCCCCAGAAATGGAGTCTTAGTGTGTAAATTCTTTGCACTGTTCAATGAATATACAGATTGTACATGTGCAGTAATTATATATGTTTAGGTACTACATGAACCAGATTCAAAGGGCAGTATGCTCCAGAGGAGATGAGACAGGATTAGGGGACAGATAACCTGGGTTCTTCCTGACTCTGCCACTCACCTGCCATGTGTTAAGCACTTTGAGAACTATTGATAAAAAGAGCTATCATGCTTAGCTCTGATAAAGTCTAGAATTTCACCTCAACTACTTCATGTTGCACCTGAGCTAACAGCACCGTTTCATTATAAAATTGCAGTCATATCTGGGCCCCATTCCTGCTGCTATTGTGATCAATGACAGAACTCCCAATGGCTTCAGTGGAAGCAGGGTTGGGGCCTTCAAGACTTTAAGCATATCCTGGCTCTACTCCTACAGGTGCTGAGTTCCTTCTGAAAGATTCTGCTTGCTCCCATTTCCCATCATTCAGTATCTTGCTGGATACGCCCATGTTACATATTCAGGACAAAAGAAGATCAGACATAACACAGTGCACTTCAAGACAGTGTCAGAGAGAGAGAGAGAGAGAGACTGACACCATACTCCAAAAAACAAGTTTTCATTAATGTTATTTATCATTTTAATATTTTTTAAATAACACATATTTTAAAGGGCTGTGCTTATAACAAAATGGAAAGGTAAAAGAAAAATGCTATTCTGATACGGTGATACATTGATGTTAAAATATTCTAACACATGACCAGGTTATATGGAAGTATGTCTGGCCATTTTCTCCTATCTTTACATTTACACAACTATATTATTGTACCTCGAATAGTAATATTACTCCCTTCCTGTAGTAAGTGAAACAGTACACAGATTGCAAAAGTTCTGCATTTTCCTAGAAAAATTAGTCAGATTCCTTTTATTCTTTATTTTGGCCAGTATATAAAACTTAAATGGGAGGATGGAGAGAAGAGAGTAGAATGGAGCACCAAAAAATAAAAATAAATCTCCCCAAAACCCAGAAAGTACAATTTTCAAAAGTACCCAATGACATTCAAAAGGACTTAGGCTCCTAAATCATTTAGATGCTTTTGAAAGTTTTATAATCCATAGTGGCCTTTATTCAAAGAAAAATTTGAAATGCTGAAAAAAAATACAGTAGATGTATAATTTCTTTAAACATATCAAAAGCATTTATCGTGTTACTGGGCTTCTTTCTATAATAAAATGGAGATTTCAGTGGTGATGCATTACATTTTAAATTAAACTGCAAAGAAAAAGGCTTAACATTTTGTTGAGTACTGCATGGCTATTAGACACATACTTACACAAAAAAGGGCATCAGTTGAATAAGAGTCTCTTTTTTGGGGCTAACTGTGAATTCTGGCACAGTTTGAATAATTTTGTTCATAACGTTCCGTAAGTAATTTTGTAGTTGTTTGCGTCGTTCCTCTACAAACTTTGCATCCTGCAAAAGAAAAAAAAGTTGAATATTACAAAAGATTTTTTCCATTCTAAAATGCCAGACAGCAATGATGACATAAATTCTGATTGATGACTTGTGCTTATCTCAGCCACCTATAGCAACATATTATCTAACACATTTGCAGCCAGTGTAGACAGAGACAAGTCATGTTCAACATTATATAACTTGGTTATGGATAAAACTCTGTCCATGACTATCTGACATGATGCTGACCATAACTTATCCCTGTCTACCCGGAGTGTATTCTTCCCTGAGAGAAAGGCCTCTTCCGTGGACTAAATGTTTTCTTTTAAAGGACTGTTATTGAGGCCCAGATGTCAGGCTCTTTCAGGACTAGCAACTTATACAATCCTTTAGGGAAATGGAGGTACTTTTCCTCCCTTCCAAGAAGTTTATTAATTCCTCCTTTCCCTGCCCTCACATCATGAACTTTTCAGAGGCTGGATACATACACCTCATGATAGACCCATTTTAACTATAAGAGCAGACATATCTCCCTCCGTTTAGTAACACCTTTTGTTAATGAAATTTTACACAACAGTCTATTTTTTTAACTAGCATAATGTAGCATTGGTAGGATGCTTTGGAAAAGAGATTTTATTTAAGTGTTAATGTTTTTCGTCTCTGGCACCAATGAATGGAGATAACTGTACCATTCCTCATTCCACTGTGAGATTTACAGACTGAAAGCCTAACAATAGTACGTCTACTTAGATTTCATAACTTCAAAACATGCATATTTTTGTCTGTGGGAAACACAATTATAGTAGAGTATAATACAATCTGTCAGCAAGCATAATACACTTTAGTGAGACTGTAATGGATTTACTGAAAAATCAGACTCTTTTTTGTATTAGAGCCAACAAGCTATATCTCAGAAATTCAGGCATTCTTCTCACCTGGTTTAAATGTCAGAATATACTCTTCAGGCATGAAGCCTCAAACTATTATAAGACAATTATAGCTTTCAAAGGACGAGTAGAGTTCCTATTTTGTGTAAAATGTGTCTAATCAACCATTGTTATTAATCTATTCAAGAAAAGTGCTTAGAAATGTACAAGTTCCTGTTTCTTGCTAAAAAAAGATATGTTTAAAATGTTACCAAACCATTCCATTTAATCAAAAACAAAAAATTAATAGGCTGGGTTGCCACATATTGGATTTGAGTTTAAGGTTAGCTCTTCTCACTGGTAGAGTCGGCTTTTCCCGGAACAGGGCTTAAATGGCCACTTGTCTGGATTTTGAAGCAGTACTGTAAAGTTCTAAGAAGTTTTGCCATCTTTGCCATTAGGAAAAGTTGGCATGACAGAGGTATTTTAGGAAGAAGGGTTCTTCCCGAAGAAGACAGTGTTCTTCCTAAAGAAGAAAATGAAGTGGGATCCCGGAGGACTGGCTTTCCAAAATAATTTAAATATTAATGTAATTTAAAAAAACAACAACAAAAAATATTAAACATTTAGAGTTGCCTTGTCAAATATTGGAAAGAAAGGCTCCAATTTTGCAAATGCTTATGCATGTGCTTAACTTTAACTGCCAATATGTATTCTGTTCCCAGATTGCTAAATGTATAAGCCCCGTCTACAGGAAGGAATTTTACAAAATTCAGTGCAACCATCAATTGAGCTGAACTGGCTGGAGCCCTAATGTAGACAAGGCTCCTGCAACTGGATGCATTTTTACCACTGTGTCAATTAAAACTGCATCTAAACAACACAGGATGAAACTCTAAGCCCTCTGAAGTAAGTGGCAAAACTCACATTGACTTCAACAGATCCAAGATTCTATCCATGTTGTTTAACTTGGTTAAAAGCACCAGAAAGTGCCACAGTAGGACTCCCACTGGTAAAATATGTGGGATTTTTTGTAAAATTATCTGGCAAGGACATGACCCCAGAATACACTACACACTTTCTCTCCTACCTCACAACACCTTGCCTCCCTATGTATAATGTTATAGAACTAGCAGAAATACCCAACTTCTCCATATTATATTTGTATTAGCCATATGCTATATATATACTAGTAATATATTTAAAGCAGTAGTGTAGTAGATTCCCATGTTAAAAAAATAGTCTTGTGTTTCTGTTACAAGTCTTTTCTCCTATAGCACACAGATTCTTTATAAACATTTATCTGATAATAAATGTAATCTAACGGCATCCATACTCAAAGGCTTCTAAAGGTTATGCAAAGCCTATTTTGTCCCCCCTCTAAAAATTCTAAACTTATGCAGAGTAAAACAAATATGGGCATTTAAATAGGTGAACATCCACACCTAAAAGACCACAAGAGAAACTTAAAAGGAGAGAGGCAAAAATGATCACTGTAAAATATGGTAACAATCATAAAGGTTCTCTTATTCTCTGCTTAATTCCTGCCAATAGCAGCAGTTACAATACTGAGAGTTTGAACAGATATTTCAAGAGTAATTGTTGGACTGGATTATCCATGGACAGCAGGTATCTGAACTCCATTTCACACTATCAACTGCTCAAATCTATTCAAGGGACATAGCTATTCAAGGGACACTATCTTAGGACCTAACCACATCAGCCACACCATCCGGGGCTAGTTCACCTGCACATCTACCAATGTGACATATGCCATCACGTGCCAGCAATGCCCCTCTGCCATGTACATTGGCCAAACCGGACAGTCTCTACGCAAAAGAATAAATAGACACAAATCTGACATCAGGAATCATAACATTCAAAAACCAGTAGGAGAACACTTAAGTCTCTCTGGTCACTCAATAACAGACCTAAAAGTGGCAATTCTTGAACAAAAAAACTTCAAAAACAGACTCCAACATGAAGCTGCAGAACTGGAATTAATTTGCAAACTGGATACCATCAGATTAGGCCTGAATAAAGACTAGGAGTGGTTGGGTCATTACAAAACCTAAACTTAATTTCCCCAATACTAATTTCTCCCTATTGTTACTCACACCTTCTTATCAACTGTCTGTAATGGGCCACTCTCTTACCACTTCAAAAGTTATTTTCCCTCCCTTGGTATCCTGCTTTTAATTGATTTATCTCATTAGACTGACCTCACACTTGGTAAAGCAACCCCCATCCTTTCATGTATTTATACCTGCTCTTGTATTTTTCACTTCATGCATCCGATGAAGTGGGTTCTAGCCCACAAAAGCTTATGCCCAAATAAATGTATTAGTCTCTAAGGTGCCACAAGGACTCCTCGTTGTTTTTCTCTGATGTAGATACTATTATGAATAGGAATGGTAATTTTTGACAGAATCAGAAAGTTTATAGTTTAGCTGTGCAAAAATGTATTCAACTGTTACTAAAAAATATTCTTAAAACTATAAACTGAATACAGTACATATAAGAAGTTAAGATTAGTCTGTCTACAGAAGAAAGTATTGTACAGTACATGCTTTAAATGCTAACCATTTTCCTTCCAATGAATCATTTGCCGTTAAAGATTGGTAGTACTGAATTTACCACCACTACACACGACAGTTTGAGAAAAAAAATGCATCAAAGTATCAATCAGGTGTTTTTTAATGATTATTGAAAAATAATTTTTGAAAAATTCTTTAAGAGTAAACTTGCGCTACTTTGCTTGATGCAATCCACTCTCTAAGGTCTCTCTTTTAGCACATCATGGTCAGAGCACAGTGACTGCTCGTACCAATCAGAGAAACAGCTTTCTCCATGTTCTACTGCAATGCAGAAGGCTAGACAAATGTACTGCTGAACAGAGCTCTCTATACAAGCTGCTAGAAGATACTAACAGCAGGAAATCTAATTCATGTAGATACATAATAGTTAGAATGGAAGATAATATTAATACTACAGGAAATTATTGCTGTATTGGAATGTAACTGTATTTATTGTTTTTGTCTATTTAAACTGTTACATTAGTCAAGTAAATTTTATATTTCCCACTTTCCTATTTAGTACTGACACATTTTCCATACAATGCTGTTTCAATGTACTGTAACGAGTCTTAGTATAGTGCCTGCTGAGCTGCTAATCTGCACAACCCAATTTCACCTGCATGTTGAATTCTAACACTAACATACAATATTAAGAAGCATTTTTAGTTAGAATGAATTTTGCACTCCTAGGACCACCTGCTTCTACCACATATGCTACAGATCAGGCATTCACAAACTTTTCATAGTGCAAACTACATCTTAATAGAGAGATGGTCTCCTAGACTGCTTCCTCTCCCATTCAAAATTGTGTGGAAAACTGCTCCTCCCATTCTTAATTGTAAAATATCGCGGTGACAACTATAGCAATTGCTTATATGACAAAGTCATATTAGCAATATATTTTAGCTATCTTTCGTGTGATAATTACTCTATCCTTTTAGAAAAAAGGTTAATTAAATGGCCTCTACTTTTGTCCTTCATTTCATCTTCTCTCCCATCTATTTTGTTGCTCTTTCCCTTCTGCTCCCCTGATCTTGCTTCTATGCTGCTTGGCTCCCTTCTCATTTTCTGTATGTTCTCCCTTGTTGCTTGTTCTTCCATTACCCTGGGACATGCTACCTTGTCACTTGGCCCTTCTTCTCTGTTCTCCTGGTTATGCTATCCAGTCATCTGGTTCCCTATTTCCTCTGTGCCCCTGGACATAATGCCTGTACCATTCTTTTGCTTAATGATTCTTTTCTCCCCTGATATTCCTCTTCTGGAGATGGCTGACAGTTCCAGTTCCTTGAGGGAGCCCGTTTACATTCCTCCTATATACCAGTGGGTTTTATAGGGGCAGCTAGGCTGAGGGCAGATGTTGCACTCCATTAGTAACTTTTATTTCTGCTTAAAGTAGAGTTTGTTTAGTTATATGGCTAAAGATGGTTTTTACTTATTAATTTTTTGGTAACCGAATTCATGTTTCTCCAATGTGGCCAGGGTCACCCAAGTCTTTGAAAGCAAAATTTGTCATATTAGCACAAAAATTAAAATTCCCCATACCACCAAGTGAAAAAAGCGCAAAGTACAACCAGTT